ATTTATCACCATCTTCTGATTACTGTCTTCTTTTACACTCCTGCTTCTGTCATCATTTGGTTGATTTTAGTATCTGAGTGAATGGTCCATCTAACACCTGAGTCTCAGTTCCTCAACCTCAGTTTCAATGACTCGCTCCTCTTTCTTTCAAACACTCACTCTGTTGGCCATAATCCTGACTGTGTCATTACCACCTTTAAAATCACAAATGAAAGCATCCCAACTTTCAATCACCATCTCCTATCTCTCCAGCCAACCTAATGCAGTCTACTTCTGTGATTCTTCGGCCCAATGGTTAGTTCTCTACTTACTCACTTTTCTAGTAATCAGCCTACTGCAGTCCAGATTCTATCCCACCACTCCACTGGAATTGCTGTTGCCAAGATTACAAATGGCCATCTAAGTGACCCATCTCAGTCCTTACTGAATAAGGGTAACTCATCCCCTCATGATTCAAGGCAAGGGGTGGAGATGTAGCTCAGTGTTAGAGCATCTGCCTGGCAAGGGGCCAAAAAGCAGCTTCAATTTTGTAGATATACAACTACCCCATAATAAGAAAAAGCTCTTGCCACTACTAGAGATAGGAAATGACCACTGCAGGAAAAGGAGAAGGGTAAAAAACTAGCAGGTAAGTGAACAAAGTGTCCTCCCACTGTTGTACCAATTCCTACCTTCCCAAGGATACATCTAATCCATCTCATTGCAGATAATGCCTAGGAAATCCATCAGTGTCATTGCTCAATTAAGTGCAACATTCCTTAAGGAAGGAAACCTTTCTGTTTGTGGTGGCTTCCTAACAGTTGAGGAAGTATATAATTTGCCTCGCCCTCCACCCCAAACAAGGCAGCAAAACAAAAGCCCACTCACAGCCAGCTGATTCTGTAGCTGTTTGACCTGCTGCTGCAGCACTTCCAGTTGCTGATTCTGTCTTTTGGATGAGCTTGTTGAGTAGGAGAGCTGTGAGAGGCTGTTCAGGGCCTCCTTCAATTTCGTGACTTCCTTTGACATCTCATTTATCTAGTAATTAAGAAAAACTGTATCAAATAGGCAATAATGTCTTTAGAGAAGCAAAATTCCAGATATTTCTATCCCTCCAACATAGTCATGTCTATTGTCCTCTGGGACTTGAATTCTTTTTATTTTCTATTTTTTAAAGAAACCCCATAAAATGAAAGAATAAGTGAGGCAAACCGACAAAGCCCTCTACATCTATTCCGTTCAGATAATGGCCAATGAATTACATTTTGGTGCATGAGGGATGTTGACCTTCTTTTACTCTTAAAAGGGATGTGACTAAAAGAAGTAGAATTAGAGACTTTTTGTATTTGGAGAGGACTATACCTTGCCCAATATTATTGACACGGACAGTCAGCAGGTACCAATTTACTCCACAATTTCCTATCCCCACCCCATAGGCTTTTGAAGCTCTTTTCAAAATACTCATAATAATTACAAAATAAAGATAAACTGCTTTACTACCACTCAGAAGCTCTGTCTCGGGACTAGAGCACACAACAGACTCAGGCAAAGAACCATTCTGAACTTACACTTTGTTTCCCTCCTTTCTCTGTACCAGATCCACTGACTTAAGGTGAGAAGCCCATGGAACTTTGGGAAGCAAGATTAAATCTGGCAGTATTTTTTTTCTATATAGTGGAGGAATCTATTCCTATAGTTTTTAACCTGCTGCTGCAGCAGTAGCTTCCAACACATCCAAAGAGAAAACTGAAGTTCACACTTTTCAGACACTTCTACTCAACACTGGCAGACCTTCTAGAAAATGATTTCTTTTTTTTGGTGCCGGAGATCGAACTCGGGTCCTTGTGCTTGTGCAGCAGGCAGCGAAACCACTGAGCTAAATCCCCAGCCCTAGAAAATGATTTTTAAAGGGTAAATATGCACCACATACGTGAAAATGCTTTAGCATAAGGAGAAATGGATGAAGACTGGTGCTTTATTGAAAGCAGTAACCAGAATATTACCCCTTATGCAGCTTTGGGGACAGATACAGTCATGTACAGAGCCTCTGAGCATCCAAAACAGGTTAGTGCCCAGAAAATCCTATATATGTTTAATATAGTAAAGACTGAAAGCCCTGAGACTTTTTGCTAGAAATCCAACAGAAATAGAATTATCACCAACCTTTTTATCTTTATCTTCCTCCAGTTTTGAAGAGCTCTCAGAATATCTTTTCATTTCTGCAATTTCTTCCTGAGCTTGCCGGAATTTTTGCAGAAGTTCATTTACTTCTTCCTCTTTGGATTTCAAGAGAGTCTGAATGTTTTCCTTTACCCTTTTCACCTGTGAGACTTCACTCCGAACCTGGGAAACCTCTGAATGGACTTTCTCTTTCTCTTTTACCGACTCCTTCAGATTCAACGTTAGCACACTCACCTCACTCTCTAGGGATGACTGGAGCTTTTCGTAGGAAGACCTGGGCACCATTGCATCGGTCATAGCAGCTTTCTCCTCTAGAAGTTGCTTCTCCAGCTTTGCCACTTCCACTTCCTTGCTTGCAAGGTGCTCTTTAAGCCTGCCTATTGTTTCTTCCATCTCTTTCCCAGTTGTCCGAAGGGTGGTTATCACTTGCAAATGTTCTGTGATGGACACAAAGTTCTCTTTCTGTGTATCTACCAGTTGTTTGAGCTGGGTCAACTCATTTAACACTTTTGAATACTGAGACTTCATTTCAGACAGTGCCTCTTCTGCTTTAGCCCTGGATACATCTGACACTTGCATCAGTTTCTCATGTTCTGCTTTGTGAATATATTCAGCTGTTACATCCTCTAAAGACTTCCTCTTCCTATAATCCTCCAGCTCAGCCTGGGCTTCTTTGTACAGCTGCGACAACTCACTTACCTGTTTATTAAGTTCATCTATCATCCTGTTCATGGCCTCTTTCATGTCTCCAGCTTCATCACTAGCTTCTTGTGTTATCTGAATTTTTAGTGTATCTTTCAATTTCATTATTTCTTCTTGGGCCTCTTGGTATTTCTCAAACAAAAACACTTTCTCCTTATTCATATTCTCAATAACAGAGCAATATGAACTTTTCATTTCCTCATACTCTTCCACAGGTGGCTTAATCACTGCACCTTTCTCTCTCTCCACAAGTTTTTCCTCTAACTCTCTCACTTTCTCTTTATTTCTTTCACTTTCTTCTAATGCATTCTGCAGATCTCGCTTTAGCACATCTATTTTCTCATCGGTGACCCTCAAGTCATGGAGACATGAATAGCTATCCACACTCTCATGTGACAGGAGACCCAGTTTCATCTGCTTCTGCACACTGAGGACTTCTTTCATGGCCTCCTCATACTTGCTCTGAGTTTCTTTAAGTTTCTGACTGAGGTCAGAGCCATTCTCTGACATGTCTGTGTTATTCAAGCACACTAGTTCCGTCCTTCGGGTTTGGAGCTCGGTCTGTAGCTGTTTCCTCTCTGTCTCAGAGCTCTCCAATCTCTTCTGCAAGTCTTGCAAACTCTCTTGTAGTTGCTGAATTCTGATACTGCTGTCTGCAGAATGTGTCACACCAGATGGAGATGATTTGGAGTCTGGGGGATCAGCATCACTAGGTTTGCTCAGGGAAGGGGCCAAATCAGACTGAGTAGAATGCAAAGAGCCAATGCTCAGATCTCCTTCCGTGTCCTTGGGTGATTTGGCCTGGGAGGAAAAAAGGCAAGACTTAAATGGCATTGAAGGTGTGCCTAAGTGAGCAAGCAACTGGAATGAAAGGGACAATCTGAAATTTAGGTGCAGAAGAGTAGCATGATCATTTCATATGTATGTTCTTTCATGATAAAAATGCATTCTGGAACATGAGAGTTGGATTAATGACACAGTGAATTCTGTGGGGTTTTTTTGTTTTTTGTTTTCTGTGTTCTATTAAGATGTGTTATTTGTCTCATTTTTAAAACATTGGAATTGTTTTATCTGTAAACCCTCTGATTCAAATTTTTTCTTTGTTTCTCACATCATTCTAGTTGTGGAGGATGGGCACAGTATAGCTATTTCTTGCCAAATTTGTAAGACTGTGAGATGGTCAGCTTTACCAAAGGAATGACTAATATGATACAGGTATGTAAATATTTACATTTTTGAGTATAAAAATTTTAATATCACTGGATGTAATGGCACACACCTGTAATCCCAGCTACTCTGGAAGCTGAAGGAGGAGGATGATCAGTTCAAGGTCAGGCTGGGCAACATAGTGAAGCCCACATCTCAAAAAAAATTTAAATATAAAATTCTGTATATATAAATTATCATTATGTCTTTATATATTTAAATACATGTTTTATTTATGTAAATAAATTTGTCTATATAATCTAGATTTAAAATTTAATAATATGATTGCCATGTATACCATAATATATATAATTATATGTAATTTACCAATTTATGTAAACAGAATCAATGAACACCACTCTCAAAAAACAAAATGTCAAAACATAAATGCTTAAAGCTAACATCTTTTTAAAAAGGCAGAAATGTATGTAGATATTTAAAGTACACCTGACTACCCTTAAAAATACCAATAGCTTGACTCCCCAGAATAATCTGTTTACCTACTTGTAATTTATCTTGTAACTCCTTATTGTGTAAGGTAAGGGAAGCAACTTTTGCTTGCAATAGGACAAGAAGATCTTGCTGATCAGCTTCAGAACTTATATCCAATAAACTATCACCACCTTGGAAAAGAAAAAGGCAATTTAAGATAATATTTTTTAACAAATAAATGCTTATGTCTTTATGTTCTAACAAACCCACTTTCTGGCTGAGTCCAGTTCTTCCCAGTCTGGATTATAACCCACCAACAATGAACAGCAATTTTCAGGTTCTAGTGTGGCCTCATTTTGGTATTCCCAGCACAATGTTAGGTACAAGTACATTGAAGCGGATTCTGAAAACTGCTGGGTTTGGCGATACACTTTCCATTCACTTGAGAAGTATTATATACTGGGTGATTTTCTTCCTCCCTGTGTCTCGTAAGTCCTAGTTCTAAGGATCCTTTTAAAAATATCTGTGGAATCTGGTTTATTTTTTATCCCTATCACCATTAATATAGTTCAGACTTAATCACCTTCCCTTGGAAATCCTGCAGACAGCTTCCCAACAAATCTCTGCCACTCTTCCCAGTGAAAATATAGCCTGTGCAGCCACATCAAACTAAGCTTCCAGAAAGATAATTTAATACTTTGGGACATTCCTTTGGTCAAATGCTTAAAGTGCTCTCCCTCTGAAAACTATCTCTGAATTCCTCTGTATCTGGCCCCAGTTTACATTTTCTGGTTTATGTCTCACTGTTTCCTAGTTTTCCATTTTGGTTAGATTCATGGATCCCATCATATTGTCTATATTCTTAACATATGACTGAGTCTTTGTTTAGCCACAGGACTCTGCCTATAGCATCTCTATACCTAGATAACTCTTAGGCATTCTTCAAGGCCCATGTCAAATTCTGCCTCCTCCTTAAAAGTATTCACTGACCACCCTAGCATGAAATGATCTTCCTTCTCTGAATCCCACATAATTGCTGTTGGTAAACCACAATTTTTTTTTAAAACATCCTACTGATTATGATGCCGAAATAGCATCTAAAGCAATGCTACTCTAAGTATTCACTGAGGTGAGAGAACTTGCCCCAGAATTTAATGCAACGTGCTACTTCCTTCATCCAGAAAGTCTTCTTATGAAAAAATATCAGCTAAACAAAACTGTGCTTAATGACATAGTTGGATGACTTTCTGATACAAACTCCTTATTATTAATGCTGACTGCTGATAGTTAATGGTCACAATCTAAATACTAGAGAATTTTTTCTAGCTATCATGCTTTTCATTTTCTCAACCATTTAATGCAGAGATGAAAATTTTGATCTTAATTTGGGTGGCTCAAAAATAATGTTTCTTCATAGAAAATCTTGCTTCTGAAAATAAGGCATTGTTCTGATATCTGATGCCTAAACCACAGCTTTCTGAATTCCCCTAATATGAAGTCTGGTGAGCTTTCTTTCTGGTAGAATAAACTAGGCAATCGGGAGCATCACTGCAATTCTAAGCAATAGAAACTACCTCACAGATACAATGGATGGTTCTTAAACTATCCAATGTAATGCTTGTTGAGTTATATTAACATTGATCTGTTGGCAATTAGAAAGTGGAATGTTTCTAAATTCTGCAAATCAAAGGGTCCAAACACAAACAAAATGCTGACTACTTTAAGAAACTGAATGCTGAAACAAAAGAGGGCCTTTGAAATCATCTACTGAATTATGTTAAATTAATTCTGAAGATACTGTATTATATTCTTACAGATAAAATCAGGCTTTAGTAATCTTTTTCTCCTTTAGGAGAGACTTAAAAGATACAATGAATTAAATCCTATCCTGGTGAAGATAATATGGTTGTGTATGATTTCATTAGCCCTCTGTTTTTGCCTGAGTCTGCTTACACCCTGAAGTGGTAAAGTTAGATTGTGGCAGTCACAGAAGTGCATGGTTCCTTCTCTCTTCAAGACATAACTTGCTGCTCAGCTGCAATGAGTGCAAGGTGCTGACAGCAAACAGCCTACAGCTTATGGACCACATTTCAGAATGCTATTTTTAAATGTGTATGGTAAAATATAAGGTATGGTGATCTAAATGCTTATTTTGTAACACATCAAATCACAAGATGTAGAAGCAGGTCTCATAACTGTCAAACCTCTTAGTGGATATATTAGAAACAGTACTTCAACATATCTGCAGTAACAGTAAAGTGATAGGAAATTGTGAATTCTCTGCATGACAAAGTCACAGGTCTGCTAATACCACTGGGGTTTATTGTCTATATCTGTATTTGAAGAAAATAGTAGTACTTTTTAAAAACAAAAAAATTATACTTTTCATATCAAAATTCAGAGATTCTTTAAAATCCAGGATAAGGCCCCTGAAGTTCTGTGCGTTGTTGGCTGCCCTGTGACAGCAAGCTCGTTCTCATGCCTTCCCGGTACAAAGTGCCCCAGCATGGCCTTTGCTCTCTTTCAATGGACATGGAATAAAGAAAGTTTGGTCAAGGGAACAAAAAACAGATGGTTTTGTATCTTACCTGTAGTACTGTCACTTAGTCTGTCTTTGTTTTCTCGTATGGAACTAATCTCAGCCTGCAGAAACACAAAAATGACTTAAAAAGAATACTAAACATAGCATTGCAAAAAAGAAATCAAGAAGATTCCTTCTTTGAGAGAGCAGAGTTGGCATTTTCCTACCAGAAAAACACCTAGAAGATCTCAAGAAAAAAAAGTATTTTAAGTATAAGTGAATAAATGTGACAATTTATCAAGTAAGGGATAATCTCTAAAACATTAGAAGCTCCAGAGGCTGTAGTCTCAAAATATTTTTCAGAAATTTCATTTAGTGAGTGTAACACAAATATATTTATAATTTTATATAACAGCTCATTTATGGGGCTATGTTCTAAAACCCAAGATGGAAAGATTTCTTTCATAATGATCTCACTTACTTGGGTCATACATTTAATATTTTTAAATTCTGCAAAGCAAAGAATTTTACTTATCTGGATCATACATGGGTAATAAATAACACATATCAAAAAATAAAAAGGTAATTTTATAGGGGAAGAAAAATTTGTATGGCCTTGGATTGGAAATGGATCTGCTAAAGATTGCCTTTAATCCCCTGTCCCTGAATATATTAATGTATTTGTAAAAATTCTTAGAACTTCAAAGACAGACTCATTTCAAGAATCATATTTCAAAACATTACAGTAACTTGCCAGAAATTACTATGTTGCATTTAGATGAGCTACAGATAATGATGAGGTATCATTTTTCAGCAAAACCTTTGATAAAGGCCCAAATGTTCAAAATTAAGTGGCTGTAGTGGCAAATGCATATCTTTTCAAAAAGCTGTTTTTTCCATTTCAGAAAAATGTCCTTATCTTTTCAAGTACAATAAATGACATCCACTTACAATTTAAGGAGGTTTTGACAGATGTATACCCATCGAACCACCACTATCATCAAAATGCAAATATTTCTACTACTCCTGAAGGTTTCCTCAGGCCTCATCACAGCTAATACCTGCTCACTCCATTTCCAGGCAACTCTGATTCTCCTTTTTTCATCTTCTAAAATCGCTATAAGTGGAATGTCATACTGTAATGATACTTTTGTGGCTGGCTTCTTTCATTCAGCCTGATGATTTTCAGATTCATCTATCTTGTTGCTTGCCCCACATTTCACTCTTTTTTATTGTTGAGCACTATTCCATTATGTGAATATATCTCATTATCTTTATCCATTCACTTATAGAACAGCTGAGTTGTTTCCAATTTAAGAAAATTGTGAATAAAGCTGCTAGAAAAATCTGTATATGAGATTGTTGTATAAACATACATTTTCATTTCTCTTGAGTAAACATCTATGAGTGGATGGGTGATCATATATTAATTTGGTAAATGTCTAACTTGTGTGTGTGGAGGGGCACCAGAGATTAAACCCAAGGTCTTTGCACTAAGCAACATCCCCAGCCCTTTAATTAATTTTGAGAGAGGCTCTTGTTAAGTCACTAAATTGCCCAGGCTGGCCTAAACTTGCAATCCTCTTGCTTCAGCTTTCCAGAGTGCTGGGATTACAAGTATGCATTACCTGGCTCTAATGTTTAACTTTTAAAGAAACTACTGAACAATTTTCCAAAGTAGTTGTACCATTTTACAATCCCACCAAAAGAATATGAGTGGTCTAATTCTTCCACATTCTCACCAACACTTGGTATATTTAGTCTTTTTAATGTTTAGCTATTTTAACTATATATCACTCTTTTTCTTGTCTGTTTAGAAGTTATAGTCTTTTCTGCTCTTAAAAATCACAATTTGGGTATTTTTCTTTGGAATGCATTGCTTCTTCTAAGCCATAGAGACGATATGAGATGATATTAGGGTAGTAATTATGAGAGCATACCTTTCTCGCCCTGTCTTGTATAGGTATTCATCCTGAGTTTATTAATAAAGTCAAGTTAAAGAGAAGAAATGATAGGCTGATAGACTATTTTTCCCATCAATGTACATCTAAGTTAAAAAAAATGTTCATTCTGAGATGGAGGCAAGTAAATACAGCTATACAAACTGAATTTCATTTTAACAATTACAAATTTTATTTACTCCCAAGTACAATTTCCTAGTGATATCCCATTTTCTTGAAATACTTTCCAACACAAATTTACAGACTGAGGTAGAATAAGACCTAAGAGAGTTCCTGAAATTCAGGTAAATTATCTTTGTCTCTAAAAAAAATTTTAACTATGCTTTGTCTCTGGAACAATTTTAGGTTTATAAAAAAGTTTTAAGATAGTGACTTAGTTTCTCCTAATGTTGGCTTATGTAGTAATGAGGCATTAGTCAAAATGAAGATATGAATACTGATAAATTATAGGTTTTAGTCAGACTACACTAATTTTCCCACTGATGTCCTTTTTCTATCCCAGGTTCCAATACAGAATACCACTCTTTATGAAGAGAATTTAAAAATTTTGACTTTTGCCACTTTATTAGTTTGTATTCAGGAATAAACAAGGGAGTGAGTACCACTCAGAAGTTAGCAACTTCTACCATTTTACCTTTTAAAAAATTATTTTTAATTGTTAAATAAAATATTATATATATATATATTATGACTTGATGCTTTGAAATACATGTATAATGTAGAATGGCTAAACTGAGCTAGTAAACATACGCATTATCTCACAATCATTTTTGTGAAGAGAATACTTAAAAATCTGTTAGCAATTTTCAATAATACAACACATTAATATTAACTACAATCACCATGTTGTACGATAGTTCTTATAAATTTATTACTCCAGTCAAAGTGAAATGTAATCTTTTCCCAATACATCCCTCAAACTCTCTACTTCCGTCAACACCCAGAGCCCCATTCTACTCTCTGCTTCTATGAATTCAACTTTTTTAGATTCCACATAAATGCCGTTTGTTACTATTTAAAAGAAAGAAAATTAATGATTGGTTAGTAAATGTAATTTATTCTCTCTAGTTTTGTTTTTATGGTGTCCATGCCAGGAAAAAATAATCAAAAGGTTCTTCATGGTGGAAAAGTTGTGAACCAGTCATTTAGAAGTATATTGTTTTTGCCAGTGTTGTATACCGTAAAAGAAGTCTATCATCTTTAAATGCAGTAATAAAGTTGAACACAGAAAGTAAATACCTTAAAGGGTGGTTCTGCAAAAAATAGTGATTCCTTTCCCGAAAGTGGTGTTGAAGTTATTGATCTTGGGGAAGATACATCACTCAACTAAAAAAACAAAGTGAAAACCACCAGTGAAGAATGTGTTTTCAAAGTCTTTTCTTCTCCAGTGCTTAAGAATTAGTTCATTTAATCGATGCAGTTAAATCTTACAGTAAATTTTTTAGCCAATTCAGCTATTTCAAATACTTTCTGAAAGTTTATAGAGTAAAACTAAGTAACTTTGATTTTATATTAACTAGAATCAATTTTTAAAATATGTAAAACTTCTATTGCAAGTTGAGCATATTATTAATGAATATGCTAACACATCTATTTAAAGTTACTTATCAGATGAAATACTACTCTATCTGAATATGGATGATTTAATTTTTTAACAGCAAGCCTCAACCTGTTTTTATTTGCCATTTCATAGATTTCTGGGTTCCCTCCTCTATAAGGTAAGTCATAAGCTCAGAAATAAAAACTACTTATAATATTATCCAACCATAAATATAATTTCAAAGGCAAATATATTTTAGCAATGTTTTAAGAGATCAACTAAAATTCATTTCCACCTGCCTTACTACTCATTTCTCTATCCCTCACTGGTGCTGTTAATAAGGGGAACTAAAAATAGACTAAGCTTATTATCTTAAGGGAAAAGTTTTTGTCATAAGATTTTGAGAAATTTCCTTGAGGTTTAAAAAAAGATACTGTTCAGCTCTACAGTTTTGAAATAGATAAAAATCAATATTATTTCCATAGTAATAATTAAAATCTTTCTTACCATAATTTGCAATTTACTTCTTTTTGCTTTTTTTTTTTTTTTTTTCTGTGATGCTGGGGATCAAACCAGGCCCTCATGCACATTAGGCAAGCATTCTACCATTGGGCTACAGACCCAGCCCCACAATTTGTAGTTTCAAACTACAAAAAAAATTTATAATGTGCATTTCATGGTCAGTTCTAAAATATTTCTTTTTGACCTAAACATAAAATGATAAAATCATGGCTTTGCTGGTATATGCTTGTTGATTTTTGGTTTGCTTGTTTTTACCTGGGTAGGACTGATAGGAGGTGGTGGAGCTTTGCGTTTTTTTGGAGTTCCACTTCTTTCTGAGCTTATTTTAGAGACTTGTTCATGCTGAAAGTTATCACAGTCCAAAGAATGGAGGTGGGTTAGTTAGGTTAGTAAAGTCTGAGCAAGTAGCTGCATCAAACAAAAGAAAAAAAAACCTCAACAGTTCATGCATTTCTTATTTCATTGAGATCTGAAATCTGCTACCAACATAAAAACAGGTAGTATGCATGCTCCAAGTTTTGTTCTAGCAGTCCATGCTTTCATGGCAAGAAATTTTAAAAACATGACAAAACCAGATTAAACTGGAGAACTGGGAAAGTAGAGGATGAGGAGTTATCTACCATAACTTAGAACCTAGAATACATTCATATAGTCATCTTTCTATCTTAATGCAAAGCAGAGGTATTTCTTACACCTTTGCATTTCTTCCATTCCATTTTCTTTTAAAGAATGTAACTATGAATGGATAGAGGGATCTCATCTCTGAAGATTATTGATAAGTAAGTAATGAAGTTAGCACATAATAAATTCAGTATTATTTGTTGATTATGACTTCTCCTAGAACTTCGGTGTATAAATAAATAAAATAGCCAAACTAAAATAAATAGTAGCAACATGTGTTTAGGGAAAACTCCAAATGAACAGAGCAAACTTCTCAATTTCTTCTCTGGGTAACACTCAATGACATTTTAGAAAAACGCCACCTAAAATAAAAAGCTAAATCTCTTATTTTCATTACATATTTGGCATTTTCATGGCCGTAGGTCTATAGTTTATGTGATATTTACAAATAATTAAAATACTGTTTTTCAGTCTTAGTATAAATCACATCAAACATTTTCATGTTTTCAGGAAGAAGTATTAGTATGTTTCAGGCAAAGATGAAGTTTAAAGTTACATGCTTTTGAAATAAAGTAATCATTAAGAAAACATTTAGCATCTTATAACAATCATTTATTCCAAAGATATTTCAATATGTATTTTCGATGTACTCTTTATCATTTTTCTAGTCAACCAGAGAGTTTAAACATTTTCAAATTCCCACAAGCAAAAATGAAAAACAAATCCTTGCTCACCCTTACCCCAAGATAAATACCTGCTTTGGTTTTGTTGGGGTCTTTAAATCTAGAGAGAAAAGAGTGAAAATAAAAGAACTATAAGGACCACCACAACGACTCATATCATATCCACTTTAGGTGGATACAGAGACAAAGACATACATATCACACACAATATTTAACACTTCATTTTTTTTGTCAAGCATGTTTGAAAGAATAATAAAATATATTGCACAAATTCCTTTTTCCTTTGGGGAAAATGGAGTGGATAAATTTAAAATAACATTGGCTATTTTCTTTCACATACCAGCATCCTGAGAGATTTTTGATAATAGAAGGCTTTGAATTCCTGCATTTTCCGAGAGTTTGGAATAATGTAAGGCATTGTGTCCAAGAGAATCTACAAGGTTTATGTCTGCACCCTTTTTAATTAAGGCTTCCACAATGTTCAAGTTGCCAATCTCACAAGCCAGCATAAGAGCAGTTCTAAAGAAAGAAGAAGATACAAAATTTGTACTAACTAAATGTGACAACTCTTTACAGGGAAACCATTTGTCCTAAAAACACAAGGAAAAGGAAGCTTAAGTGAAGTTAAACCTTTACTATACTTAATCTGCTGGGGAATCTGAAATGGAATGCTATTAAGTTGAAATTAGGTGGTAATTTTAAAAACTCTACCTTAGAACATTAAATCATATTTAGTCAAACAGACACAATCTATAATATTGCAAAAACGATAAAATTTAATATGATTGGCACAAATCTTGTCCTTTCACTGTATTCTAAGATCATTTTTAAAAAGCAATCAATGTTTTTAAATTTTATATGAAAAGTCACAGGAAATGGCTTATTCACTTCAATCTTTAATAGTTTCATCATAGTCACAAAAAAGTCTGGGAAAATTTGCTGTTAAGTTGAAACAGATTCTTGATTATCAAAAAGGTAGAAAATTTAAAAAGAAGTCAAAACTACTTTATAGGAGATCATCCAAAAAATATCTGTGTTTATGAGACTCAGAATGTGGATATTGCTGAAGTTAGACAATTTTTGCCTAACTGTGGAGTACCTTCCATTTTTGTCCCTGGAATTGACATCTGCTCCATGATCCAGGAGAAAGCAACAGACTTCAGTATGGCCATTTTGTACTGCAAGAAGCAGTGGTATGTTCCCATCCTATGAGACAAACTGAGATTTAGATCTTAAATCTAGCACCAACTGCCAGAAATGCAAAAACCCTGCTCTTTGCACATTTTTCCCCCTAACTTACATTGCTAGTCTAATATTTATTCCACCATGGCATCTTCTGCCCTTCTCAGGCACAACTCAAGGGATTTCACTTACTTTTAGCTTTTTCCTAGAAGCCTCAGACTCTTGGACTGTTTGTTTCCTTAGCCATTACTGTCTTAAGTAATCCCTTGAGAGAGGTTGGAACACAAGGAGTAATAAGGATCAAACAAGCAAGCATACATGGATATTCAGGGATCATTCTAGAGAAATGAAGGCTTATCTCAATGTGGCACCAGAAGGACCTGCCACATTTTAAGCTTGTTCCCAGTGAACTATTTCCTGCCACTCCACTGGTCTGCCCAGAAACCGTACCCTGTCATTGTCTTACTAGGTAACCTCACCTAACACAAATTAAGAGTATTTGTCTAGTACTAACAAAACACAAGATAAATTAAGAGCCTGTCTATTACAAAATAAAGAGATGGATGTGAAGACCTATTTATTTAACATACCATGACAATTGTCAAACCCTTTTGGAAAAAGAACTCATGTTCAAGCTATGTCAGATGGAGTAAGAATTTAAACATTATAATATTACAAATAAGAAAAACACTAGAAGAATATATAGTTATCTCTGTAATCCAAGGTGAGTGAGACCTGATGCGTATGATACAAACCATAAAGAGAAGTTATTATTCTGCTGTTTTGTTTGTTTGTTTGGGAACATAATCCACAAGTCAGTCAACAGTAACTTTTAAGTTAGAAACATTTAAAAAGGGAAAGAGAAAAGGTAACTTACAATATATTGAACTAGTCAAAAATGAGGATTTAAAAATATAATTGCTACTACATATTATGTTTTGTAGAATAACTTGAGAGAGATTTCTAGGTAATATCTCTATAAAGTTATACTTTCTAACTATGAAGTACAGGTTGAGTATCATCCAAAATGCCAGAAGTGTCCCAGATTTTAGACTTCTTCATGAGTATGGAACTCAAGTCTAAGTATTTTTACATAGATTTTGTAAACAGCTACAGTAATTTATACAATATTTTAAATAATTATATATGGAATTCTGGTGTGAAATTTTCTACTTGTGGTAGCATAGTGGTGCTCAAATTTGATTTTGAGTTTTGGGATTAGCAATATTTAACCTGTACTAAAATTCAGAGAGTATTAATTTATTTATAGACTGTCAAGTCACTTCATGGTATCTGCATCAGGTGCAAATATTTACATGTCAATTCTCATGCTACTTCTGACACAACCCTGCAGCCATGTGCAATAGACATATTTATTTTCCAAATAGCCTAGTAAGGTTAAAGTAGGCTAGAAGTGGTCTTCAAGGTTGGGAAATTCTAATCAGAAGGTACCCAAGGTGATACATGGGCTACAGAAGGAAAATAATAGATTTTCTATTTAAATATCTTTTACAAATCAAGAAAGTAAACTTTATTCATATTTGTTTATGATAGAATATATATATGAATATATATATGCAAGAAGTTCATGCTATAAAATGTTTTGTTAAAGGGAACAAGGAGGAATAATACATAAAACCATTTCACAGAAAAGGATCTAGTTGTAAAGCAACAGAATTTTGCCAGATACTTAAGTCTCTAAAGTTTCAGTGACTCTCAGAGGTATCTCACAATGCTCTAGTATTAGTGTCAATTTCCACCTCTAATGACCTGGTACGTACCAAATCCTTGAGGTTTACAGGGCTCTTGTGCTCATAGAGGACCTGCACAGCTTGAAGGCAGCCCCGTGCCGCTGCAGGGAGAAAATACAAATACCGCAGCCCATCACAAAGCTACTCCCACAACCAGGACACTAAACACTTCTAGGAAGGAAAAGATCATGTTCTACCCAGTCAGCACATGTTCATTCAAACTGCACTGACAAGAAATGGTATTAGGAAGGTTAAGTAAGGGGTGTTGGAAATTACTATTTAATTTCAGTTATCCAGACTTAAACCCAATTCCTGCCAGGCAATCATTTGGTTTAGCTACAACTAGAAATTCAAGACTTTTAAAAATCCAATCTGCTGAGATTTCAATGTCAAGTGTCTCTTGAAGTTTTGTGAGAGAGTAAAACAAAACATTAATAAATAAAATCAACTGATGTTCAAACTGATTCCAAGTCAAAAAAATCTTTTTCATATATTACCTGAAATTTACAAGTGCTTATGACTATCTCTTACTTTTAAAAGGAACTGGAATAGATATAGATATATGTATATATTTCCTTAAAATATATTTTAAAATGTATTTACTCATTTGGTGCTGGGTATTTAACCCATGGCATCCTGTATGTTAAGCATATACTCTACCACTGAGCCATATTTGCAGCCTTAATTAAAATATATTAACTATGATAGTTTTTACTGGTTGTATGACAGGCAAATGATGAATTATAGGTGTACTCCTTGATAAAACTACATGTTTTATAAACTGAGTAAAATAGAGATGTCTAAGAATGAAGAAAGAAAAGAGTCCTAATAGTATGGTAAAGTTAATGGCCTGAATTTAAAAAAAAAATAAAAGAAAGAGAATGAAAATTACCTGCATAATGTAAAGCTGTTTTCCCAGAGCTGTCAATACCTTCAGCTGGGCATTTAGACTAGAAAACAAAAATAAATTTCATATATATGTATATTTCACACACATATATGTATGTATGTATATTCTATCTTGCGTAAATTCTGTTCAGTTTGTCCTTTTCCTGCAAGATACAACATGCCACATTATATAAAAAAGCCCCAAGCGCTGTGCTCCAGGGGCCTATAGTGCTTTCTGGGGAAGAAGACTCATTTCCAAATGATAGGCAAATAATAATTTCTTTGCTTTTCTGGCTGTCCATTTCTCTCCTACAGCATCATCCCATCACTACTGGATCATCGCCTCCAGCTAATAAACATGTGCAAAAATCTCTCATCTTGATCCTACCTTTCCCCCTAATTTCTCCCCTAATTCTCTGTCCCGCTTTGCTTCTCATTCACTCCTAAAGCCACTACAGGTGGGTGTCTGCCCTGAAAATTCTGTGGAAATGGCCTTAGTCAAGGTCACCAGCAAACTACAAGTTTCTGAAACAATGGAAGTCACGTCACAGACAGCCTGGGTTGCAATGACAAGAGATGAAGAAGTAACACCATAGGCCTAGGACCCAAGGACAGAGACCCAACAAGAGGACCCAAGAACTATCCAGAAAGAATAATGGTAAAACAGTTTGCAAGTTGGAATAGGTAAAAACAGGCTGCCTTAGAGTGAAATGTCTGCCCACTGGTGTTAAGAAGAATGGAGATCAAGTTACCTCTTACCAAGTTTTAGCCTAATTTTAGAACAGCACAAGGGAACTGTTTAAAGGCTTCAAAGATTCCAGCGAAAACCCAATCCATTTGCATAAGAAGATATAAAATTACATTAGAGTCTAGAATATCTGGTTCTAGCCCACAAGGACTTTGAGCTTGTCAGGTTAAATCTTCCCTAAAATCAGAGCCAGATACAAAGTCTGGCTAGCCAAGCCAGGAAGGGAATGGGGACTTAAAACACATTTTAAAACATTTTTTAAAATATCACCCCCCCAAAAAAAAACAACGAAAAACTGAGGTGGGCCCAAGGTTGTAGATGCAGGGCAGTTGGGCAAGGGAATGCTTTTCATTTGTCCAGAGTGCTTGGTCACAGAAAAGGCAGGAAAAGAAAAGCTTTATTTTAATTGTCTTCAAGGGGAAGCTTCATAATAAAACATCACAGACACTGATCAATTTTTCTTGAATATTGCTTCAAAGACCTGTAAAGGTCAAACATTCCTGGAATTGGCAGTAGTGTGCATCATGTAATACAAGACAAGAGGCTGTGTGATCAACAGAGCAAGACAAGTTGAAGAATGTGACCACAATTCTACATTAGAATTTCAAAGCCAAATTAAAGCAAGATGCTGAGTCCTGAACAGTGCTTGTGGTGGCCGAGACAACAGCTTGACACACCAGACAGTGCTCCAAACACATAATTTATGGCTCTATGCTGTTCCCGAAAACAGCCAGCTTGCATTTTGACTGGCAACAGCTGGACATTACTGTATAGACTGCTACTGGGAGATCATTAAATATGTATCTTTATAGATTTATGGAAGTCATTACCTTAAGAGATCATTATAAACTTCCTGGCAAAGTTATCAAACCAGAGAATTGGCTTAAAATTATAAAGAAGAATAAAACCAAGCACTTAAACAGGAACCCAAAACTAAAAACTCATCAAGTTACGTGCAAAAAAGTAATGGTTGAAAACTTGCTTCTCAATAAACGTTGAAAAAAAATGTTTTTTAAAAAAGAAGAGCTGCATTCTACTCATGGTTTATAGAGTGAATACCAGGACACAGAATTTATAGAGTGAATACCAGGACATAGAATACCTGGTAAGGATTTTTCAACAGTTTAGAAAAAGATTTTGTGAAAAATTTCATTATGTAGAGGGTACAAGTCCTGGGAAAGACAAAGAGGGACTGAATAAAAAGGAAGGAAAAGACTGATTCCAGGAAGATACTCCAAATTTTGATTAGACCACCAACAGAGTGAAGAGAACAGAAAACAGTTTTTACAGCTACTCCTCAGACAGAAGACTAATATCTAGCATATATAAAGAACTAAAAAACTGGAATCCCCAAACTTAAAAGACCCAATCCAAAAATGGGCATCTGAAATGAACAGATGATACTTCTCAGGTGAAGAAGAACAAATGGCTAGTAAATACATGAAAAAATGTTCAATATCACTGGCCATGTAAGAAATGTGAATTAAAACAACACTGCGATTCCATTTCACTCCAAAAAGAATGGCCATCATCAAGAAATCAATTAAGAAATGCTGGCACGACTGAGGGGAAAAGGAACCCTATTCCAGTGATGATGGGAGTGTAATGGGTAAAACCACTATGGAAATCAGTATGAAGATTCCTCAAAAAACTAAAACTAGAGGTTCCATTTGACCCAGGTATTCCTCTTCTAGGTATCTTCCGGAAAGAATTAAAGTCACCATACATCAGTGATATATACACATCCATGTTTAGAGCAGCACAATTTATAATATTGGAAACAACCCATATGCCCAATAACAGATGAATGGATGAGGAAAATGTGGTGTTTAAATACAATGGAGTACTACTCTGCCACAAAGAGGATAAACTTGAGGCATTTTTAGGTAAATGGATGCACCTCAGACCATAATCTTAAGTGAAATAATTCAGACACACAAGTTTCAATATCACATTGTTTCTTTAATGTGAGAAACTCAAAGCATAAATAAGGAGCAAAATAGAGGACAGATATTAGGAAGTAGGAAGAACTTTTTTCAAATGGGAAGGGGAACAAGGGATGGGGAGGAGAAAGGAAGGAAGGGAAAGGGATTTAAAGAAAAAAGAACTGAAGGAGAAAATGGAAACTGAACTTTTGAAAGTGGGGAGGGAAAGAAGGGTTGGCAGGAGAGGAGAGGAAAGAGAAAAAAGAATTGAGATGTATTATGTACATGTACAAATGATGAATATGATCATTATTTTTTATTGGTACATCATGCAAACGTACTTTTAAAAACCCCAAAACAACAACAACAGCAGCAACAACAACAACAACAACAACCCAAAGTATGACATTCTCAACTTTTGGAATTTTCCAGAAGGCCTGAGATTTAAGACTAAGGGAAAGTACAAGAGTTTTCCCCTCATGTTCCACTCGGGCAGCAACTGTCTGTCTGAGGATCTGACAGAATGGGGCACAGGAATTAGAGGTATGTTGAACCTGAATTTAATACATTTTATTAAACATAAATAACCAAAATCTTGCTGTGTTTTGTGCCTGACATTTGGTCAAGAAATGAGATTTAACAATTCACCTTCCAATGTAAAAAATTTTATTTACCCACTTTTTTTATTTTAAAGCTGCATCCCATTGTTTTATTTACTTATTTATTTATTTGGTACCGGGGATAGAACTTGGGACCTTCCACCTGCGAGGCAGGCGGTGGAACCACTGAGCTAAATCCCGGGACCCCCACTTTTTGATTAATGCAAAAAACCCCACATTTACTTAAGATTTTTTGTAAATATGTGTATCTTTCATTATCATTAAATAAAGATGGAATTCAAGCAAAATAATTTTTTTTTGGTACCAGGGATCGAACTCAGGACCTTGCATTTGCAAGGTAGGCACCGGAACCACTGAGCTAAATCCCCGGCCCTTGCAAAATAATTTTGATTAGAAGCCTTTTTTTTTGGCCAGTGGAATTGCTATGGAAACAATATTTTCCCTGACTATTATTTCAGTAATAAGGCTACTTAGGAAACACAGGTTCTGGGATAGTATTAAAAGGAGTGTGAGTGTGTGTGTATGTGTGTGTAGGGGAAGTGTTTTTTTCTTTCACAGATAAGGTTACCTTTAAGTTTTAAGAATGACGCATTCATAATTTTAAGTCGTTACCACTTTACCTGAAGGAGCTTCCTGATGCACTCATGATGGCCGTTTTTGGCAGCAAGGTGTAAAGCACTGTGTCCTGAATGGATTAAAAAGCAAAAAATGGGGGGAAGGTCACACTTTTTACATCTCTTTTTAATCTCTGTCTTAAGACAACTATGAGGAAATAAATTGTTCTCCAACAAAGACAGAATTGTTCCCCTGGAAATGACTTCATATTCTTTAGTGCAACAAAAGGGAACAGAGCACCTTGTCCACCAGATAACATTCACAGGCTCCAACTGCTGTTCTCTTGGGCTTCAATTAAGCCCACTAGAGCCGTATAGTAGATAGACTCATGACATGCAGCTTAGATGTTCTGCTTTCAGCTAGCTGTCAAAGTGTGTCCCAAGTGCCCTGAGTCCACAACAGTGTAACCAGTCTGGGGCCATCCCAGACCTAGGAACTCCAAAAAGGCAGACCACAAGTCAGCAGAGAACATACCAGAGATCCCTACTTTTGACCCCTTATTTTCTTGCCCCCAAATGTACTCTAGCTGTGAATGGACATTACCTGGGGATTTTGGATTTTCAAAAATTTTCCAAGTTCTTATGTGAAAGAAGGGAAAGAGTTGTGAAGGAATGTACTGTGAGAAACTACAGTATTGATTAGACCCAAAGCAGGCTGTAAGCAGTGCAGGCTATAAAGAGTTAACACTACAATTGGCTTTTTTATAGAAGTGAGTCTGGCTAAAGCCTACATGCTGAGGTCAGAGTAACTCACACCCAAATTCCGTTCCCACAACTAAAACCTTCTTAACTAGAAGGAAATGTTCTAATTATAACCCTATATTTTGTCTATTCCGTTCCTAATTTGAGAATGCTTTGTCTTGTCCTTTACAAGGTTTCCTTACATTAATTTCCATAGAAACTGCACAATTGCCCATCCTCACATGTAGTTTCACCCTCACACGTAGCTCACCTTTATCCCAATTGATTACCAATAAAAATGAGGGGCTCGGACAGACCAGGGCCTTTGTCGGTTGCACTGGCATTGGTCATCCTGGAGCCTTGCTTTCTCTCTTAGTTTTGTTTTTCAGGATTTTTTCTGCATTGTACACTGAGTAGGAGACGAGGCTACTGCAGAGGTTTCTAGAAACATTTCAGGGGTCCTCAGTAATGTACTATTAATGTAGCATTTCTCCGAGTTCCCTTCATGCCGCCAACATAAGACTCAGCTGTTCTATGATCAGATAACTTCAGGAAATCCCAGTGTTCTGCCCAACTCCCTCATTGCCAAATGGTCCTATAGAGCTTCTCTGGGAGGCAGGCTTAGGGGCAGACTAAGGGGTAGAAGATTGCCTACACTAAGGCCTTTGCAACTGCTGTATATTTATCCTGGAATTTCTTTTCCTACAATATCATATAGCTTGCTCTTTTACCCTTTTGGATGCCACCAGAATGAGGTCTTTTGAATTAGATCTCTTCTGGCATACGCATTAAAAATTTCAATTCCTTTCCAACTGTTGCTTTTATCATGATTCTCTGCTTTATTTCTTTATTCTTCATAGCACCCAGCAGTTTGTAGAATACAAACTTGATTGAGATGCACTTTTTGTCTGTCATTCCCTGCTGTTTCCCTAGCACCTACAATCTTTCTGATACACAGTAGCCTCTCAGTTCTCATCCATGTAAATTACAGGCTGTGGTAAATTCAAATATCTGGAATGTAAGACTTGCTATAGTTTCCAGCCAAGCCAGTATAATTAGGAAAGTCATAATCATGCATTTCTCAAATTATATGACCAAGTTATCCCCAATGATATTATAAGCTAGATAATTGCTGTGTGTGGCTGTCTTGTGAATTACAAGATGTTAAGCCACCTCTCTGACCCACTAGATGTCCAGTTATGACAATCAAAATATGTCTCCAGAGATTTCCAGATGTTCTTTGGAGGCCAATTCACCTCTAATTGAGAACAATTAGCTTAGGGAAACAAATTTTTTTTTTTTTGGTACTAGGGATCGAACTCAGGACCTTGCACTTGCAAAGCAGTTGTCGGCACCACTGAGCTAAATCCCTGGCCTGTGAAACAAGTTATTTATATTGTGACCCAATTCCAAAATACCATTCTCTTTTCTGAATTAGTTGTCACTCTCTAACACTGACCAGAATTTTCTAATTGGAGGATCACATGGCTATAAAACACCATATTTAAGATGAGAGGGCCACAGGATCACAGTGAGCTACACAAAAGTATATGTAAGGTCAAAAGAACAACTCCCTTCTACTCTGAAACAGAGGTATTGAGAGATCTTAAGTGTATACTTGAGCAAGAGGTTAGTCGAGGTGGCATACCAGGCAGAAATCTTTCTACCCCTTTCTAAAAAGATAAAAATAAATAAGGTTAAGGAATGAGGGAAAAGAGATCTTTGAAAGTAGGAACACAAGGATCTCTCCCTCTTACTCCTTTTATTACATGAGATTCCTCCCATCCAGGATGAATAAAGCATAATAGTCAGAGATTAGTTACATTATACATTAAATAGACTCTTGTGGGGTACCTTGGCCTCTCCAACCATCATTTATACCACTGTTTCTACAGAAAAGTACATTCTGAATTTTAAGTAAATGAACTTTTGGAATACATCCTGATTGTAAGAATGGAGCCTGTTTATGTTGTGCATGCAATGTATTAACTTTTGTCTATGCTGTGAACAAAAGCTGTTCTATACAAAGATGTTCAGTGCTCATCTGAAAAAGGCACAGTTCTCCAGGGATAATGTGGTAGGGACATTTAAAGAAAATGTCATAAGTAAACAGCAGGCTTTCATTTCACCTCTAGTGTTCTGGTCATACCCGGAAGTTAGTCCTGCATATCTAGAGAAGCAAAAGTTTTTTTATTTCCTGGCTCTGATATGTTTTTTTCTAACTAGCAACATAAAAGTGTTTTTTCACTTAAAATAATGTCAAAACTCAAATGACAAATCATTACCTGCATACTATTACACTTCGGATGCAGGGCCTTGTTAACATGAAACAAAATTGTCTTTCCAAATGCAAATTTTCCCGGACAGAATACATTAGTGACAGAATCCTGCTGTAAGAGGCAATGTGTTAGTCTAACTCTTATGCAGTTGTGGATCTGTCTAAGATACCAGAAAGAAATTTCCTTACAGACAAATAAAAAGGGCAAATCTTTGCCTGCAAATAAAAAGACCAATGCTATTTATAAATCAAGAGCCCTGGCCCATTACAGAAAGTTTAAGAATACTATTTTTATAAGAGACTGAGCCTGCTTTGGTGCTGCACACCTGTATTCTCACCCTCTGGGAGGCTGAGGCAGGAGGAATGCAATTTTGAGCCTAGCCTGGGGAACTTAGCAGGACCTTGTCTCAAAAAATAAAAATGGGCTGAGGATGTAGCGCAGTGTAAAGACCTTGTTTTCAATCCTCAGTAGAAAACACGCACACACACACACACACACACACACACACACACACACGAAAAAAAAGAAACAGACTCTGAGCAGGAAGGTTTAGCAACCCAAGCCACAAAAATCTTCCCCTAAACTACATCAGTGGTAATTTATTCAATTCTTAAAACTGCTGGAGAAAACAGGTAAAAACAATACAGGAATGATTGATGGGACTGAGACCATATTTCTCAAGTGAGATGTAAATTTTTAAGGCAGAAAAAGTCATAGGATACTTAGATGTGGTTAAAAAAAAAAGGCCAAAGTTCAAGAAAATATAGCATTGGATCATAATACAGAAACATGTAGAAATAAGGACAATTAAATAATATTCAACTAGACAAGATATAAAATATTTTCTTAAAAATTAGAGTTTCAGAATGCAGAACATAGTTAAACAATAAATTATAAATTTAGTTCTGGGAGAAGGGATCAAAAACGATCAAGATATGATATATATGTGATACAGACATATCTCTATAGTTGTCACTCAAGATATTGTATCTTGATCATATATACAAATTCCCCAAAACAAATGTAATTATTCCAATCACAAACATAAAGCAATAAAAAATACACCTTGTTCCTATTTGCAATTTAAAATATATTTAGACAGTGGAAAGGTTCACATTTACATCAAATTTTTATCACTGAAGCACAAGTCCATTTACCCTGCTATATATTGGAGAGAAAAGACTTATTTATAATAATTATTCTTAATTCTATAGTTTTGAACTTATTCCTTAGTCTCTATTTATTTGTAAAGCACAATATAGGTTTACATAATGTTTTACGAGAATCAAATGATGTTCTTGCATGTGTGCAGCATGTGGGACATTCTCCTGACCCTGTGTGAGCCTCCCCACACAGGTGGATCCACAGCAAGTCAGGTACCATAAATCATACCACCTATTTTGTTTTTTCTTAATTCCAAATTAAAATACATCTATTAGGTTGACTTACAGCTAAATTTTTAATGACTCATCCTATAAAGTATCTGAGTTTTAAGATGAATATTATCTTTATTCTTCACACAGTGTCAAATTTGAGTGGAATTAGGGGTATAACAGAATGCAAGGCCACCCAGAAGTCAGAAAAGCTAAACCAGGAACTGGAAATGGTAGAGAACAAGTTTTCTCTCCTCTTGGACTCTTCCTCTGTGTTTCAAACCTCAGCTTCTTACTCTCTGAAGACTTTCCTAACAAGAGTTGTTTTATTAAGAAAGCCAAGTATGCAAAGGGATTAGAGACAATTTAAAATATCTCAGTGTGATAGAAACTGCAAATCATCCTTCAATCCGTTTCTGCTGCCTCCTACAGTAAAACATTTGATTTAACTAAACAAATTGTTGCCCAGAATTTTCCTGCTTTGTTTAAGCTAGATGTGGCCACGGTCCATGCTGTGTCCAGTGAGATCTGAGTGGAAATATGTTTGTGCCACATGGGCCACACAATCCTTCCCCTCTCTGCTGCCAGGGACCCCTGGGGAGCCATCCAGGCCATGGGAACCACAGAAACACCCTACATGGTGCAGCAACAATGGATCTGGGTCACCATGGTATGGAGCAGAGACACCACACCAGTCTGGATCTTTTAATTGGGAGAAATAAAATTTTAATGTCTAAGTCATTCTTATTTTGGGTTCTGCCACAGTATCAAATGTATATACTTATTAATAAAGGAAGTCTGCAGAGACATATGGATAATACATGAAGATTCTTTGGTCTTCTTCAGTCTTTCGGTAATGCTTCTATGTAATTCCATTTTCTACTCCACAGTGCTAAGTTCAGGTGTCAAAAACAAAGAAAAATAAATTTTAAAAAAAAGCTAGGCATCAACTTTGCTGCTTGCCCAGGAGAAATGCTTTCTGAAAAATGGACAAAATTCGCAATTCTTACATTAGTGAAGAACTAGAACAAGCAACAAAGGTTATCAAAGGAATTATATGGTTTAGTTCAGAGATGGTCCAGGAATTGGCCTACCAAATTGCTATGTGTTCATGGTGGCAAACAGGCAAACCAAGGAATAGGAACTCCTCCCCCTAAAAAAACTCCTAAAGTGATGATTTTTATTCCCAATTCTTACATTAGTGAAGAACTAGAACAAGCAACAAAGGGTATCAAAGGAATTATATGGTTTAGTTCAGGGATGGTCCAGGAACTGGCCTACCAAATTGCTATGTGTTCATGGTGGCAAACAGGCAAACTAAGGAACAGGAACTCCTCCCCCTAAAAAAACCCATAAAGTGATGATTTTTTGTGAGTCTTTGGGTTTGCTATTTCTTACTTTAAAAAATGAGAGAATAGGGCCAGGGATTTAGCTCAGTGGTTCCACCATCTGCCTCGCAAGCGCAAGGACCCGAATTCGATCCCCAGTACCAAAAAAAAAAAAATTGAGAGAATATGTTGTGATGACTGTCAAGCTTTGTATGGGTGTGCGCACATGTATGTATGTGTATAAGATCTGAAACTGATCTTTCAGTAGCCCAGTGAAAGAGAGTAAAGGCCATCTGGCTGCCAGCAATAATCATGACAATTTAATAGTAAAACACAGTGAGCCCTTCTGTGTGCCTCGCACTGCCTATGTGCCCACAATGCCCACCTCACTGAAGCCTCCAAAGCTATCTAATGCAACTGTTGCTGTTATACTGTAACTGGTCCCATGGCCTTATCTTCTGATAGTGTTTTGCTCATAAAATTAACTGTAAGGCACCCATAAAAATTCTCAGAATTCTAAGCATTTCATGTGGAATGATAATTTCAAAAAAAGATAATAAAAACCCTTTGTGTCTAATTCCTTAAATACAGTCAATAGCTTAGAAGTAGAAAACTAGACCAATTTGATGATTGTGTAGACTTGTGGACAAAAAGGATAAAAACAGTCAGTATCATATATATTGAAAGGAGTCCCAGCCCTGAAAAAAATCTCTACAGGTAGTATGATTTATGGTAAAAAAAAAAAAAAAACAACAACTTTTGTGCTATTTCTAACTAGGTTTTGAGATTGAAGATAGAATTTCTGTAGTAATGTGTCAATAATTGAGGTAAATTAATTGAAAATCTCTAAGCTGTCAAAGCTAACCCTTTTCCCATAAAATCATTTTTGACTAAAGATGATCATGAAGGCACAGTGATTAACATCCTCTTCCTTCGCTTGTATCCACATATGCTTTCTTAAGAGGGAGAGTTAAGGAGTGGGCATTATAGCCAACACGAAATACATGAGCATAGGCAATTAAAGCCATCTCAATTTATCTTTTTTTTTTTTGTAGCAGAAAGAGTATAATAGTTCTTCTAGATAACACACAGTCATTCCATGCACTTTTTTTTTGTTTTTGTTTTTTGGTACCAGGGATTGAACTTGGGTCCTTGTGCTTGGGGGTCAGGCAGCGGAACTACTGAGCTAAATCCCCGGCTCCCATGCACTTTTTTTTCCATGCACCTTTTTCTTTCGTTTCTGTGTTTTCTTTGCAGATTTTTAAGAATTTATCACAAGAAGTTAGTGCCTTGTTTAGAGTGAAGTGCTAGCCTCCTTGCCTAAAATGGAAGAAAACAGGGAAAGGGACTGGAAAAAGCTGAGACTTCCTCAATCCATGGAACATTTCAACAATGTCCTGGAGCCACAAAGTGCTTCGAAGAACCCATTTCAATCAACTTCTTCTGACCAGCATTGAGAAGCCTACATGATGGGTCTGAGGGTTTCTTGGGGTTCCTTCTTGGAGGACCAGGCCATCCCAGTCTTCAAGGAAGTGGGCACTGAGCTGATACATCCAGGCCTTGTGGCTAGCACCATACTAGGCTCTCAGAAACCCAGTTAAGGCTCTGCTGGTGAATACAAATTGTACCCACATGATATGCTATGGTTACATAAAACTATGCTTCTTTTAATGGGAGAAGTTTTAATGGGAGAAATGATATTGGTGATTTGCATGTAGTATAGTATGGTAAAGGCTGAGGATCCTGGGAAGCTGGTCAGATGAAGATCATGGCTTTTGTCCACAGTGCTCATTTCAGCTATTTGATGAAATGTGTTACTAAAATTCACCCCATTTATTATCTTACATTGTGATTCATAAAAACAAAAACTAGAAAATAGTGCTTGGTTCATACATATAATCTTAGGAAATAATATCAAAAATGAGGGTAAGAAGCAGACAGTCTCTAGTGACTAATAACATAGAAGAAAAAAATGCATATGAAGATACAGACAAATGATGAAACCATGTCTAGCATGAAGAGTTCCAAAACTTATGAAACTGATCACCTAGATTGTGCATTTGATTTTATCTATTGAAAGTATATATATGAATATAGATATGTAGATAGATATGAATGTATTTATATATGTATAAATATTATATTTGTTACATGGCTTATGGCAGCCTAGCTCTTGAAAGTGATTCTGGTTTTCTTCTTTTGGCTTATCTGTAGCTCTAACTTTTCCACAATGAATATGTATCACCTCCATCATGATACTCTCCTGCTGGTTGACTTAAGAGATTGAAAAAACACATACCAGTAGTGTCTTGGACAGTCACATCCACACCATGTGTAAACATGACCCGGAGACATTCCACATGTCCTTTCGCAGCAGCAAGATGAAAACTAGAAAGAAGAGGGAAACACATCTCAGATTTTCATCTCCAACAAAGCCTTCTGGCTCTTCACTTTCTCTCACTTGAGCTCCACAACCACCCACTGAATAGGCATTATCAGCCTCATTTTTTAAACAATGTATTTAAAAATTTTTTATTGTAGTTGTTGAGACAGGGTTTCACTATGTTGCTCTGGGTAGTCTTCACTTGGGCCTTGTAGGCACAAGTGATCTTCCTGCCTCAGGCTCCTGAGTAGCTGGGACTATACCCAGTGTCACCTCATTCTAAAGATGAGAAAACAGAGGGATCAATATGGTCTGATAATTTGTTCTCTGACACTGTTTTTCTTTTTTTTTTTTCCTTTTTTGGTGCTGAGGACTGAATCTGGGGCCTTGTGCATACAAACATATGCTCTTCCATTGAAGTATCCCACCCCAATCCTTCACTGACATCTCTTATTAAATGATGAAACAGGAATTTGACCTCAGGTTTTTCAAACCAAAGATTGGGCTTAAAAAAATTAAGACTGCCCCACATATTTGTCTCTCTGTACAACAACAGTTGAGCCTCAACTAGACTAAATTTCTAAATGATAAGTCTACCAACTTTTTCTTATTGTCTAGTGCTTTCACCAAAACCATTGTTTCTAAGTAATACACTCTAAAAAGAAACTTGTCTAAGTCACACAGAAGTCAAAGTTCTGGACAATATCAATGCCAAATGTGCTATTGGATTAGAGTTAAATAAGTTGTGTGTAATATTTGTTAATGCATGTTGAGCATCTTATATACTCTTAAATGTAATTTCTTTTCATTACCATAAAAACCTTTGGGGGAGGTTGCAGGAGTCCCACTATGTAGCTCAGGCTGGCTTTGAACTTTTTATGTAGCCAAGGGTGGGTGGCCTTGGACTCATGATCCTCCTGCTTCAACCTCCTAAGTGCTGAGATTACCATCACAGCCTTTAAAGCTGAGTCCTATTACTGTCTCCTTTAGACAACATGAATCTACACTCAGGTGCAAACATGATCAGACAAAGTTCACAATTAGGATGCAGAACTCAATGATGCTTGGAAGTTCAAAGCATGCTCAAAATCTTTAGACTGGTCATTAAGAAAAGAGATAACACTCCAATACCACACCAAGCATCCCAGCAAATCGAACGGTGAAGAACATTCTGCAGGCAGAAAGAAATAAAGCACAATTCCACCAGGCAGTCAGGCTCAAAGGCTGAGATGGCCATACACACTGGGACAGTGTCCACTGTAGAGGCCTTTCCTCCTTTTGGTCTCCTTCCTCTACAGAGAGGTTAACATGCTTTCCAATTCTCCTGCTGCCATTCTGTTTTAAGGGCTTTTCCTCAGGATATGTTCTATGCAGCACTTCAGTGTCTATACCTCTGAAATAATGTCCAAGCAATGTTTTCTGGCATGGTAGGATCTGTCACCAGAGCTCAGAGTCATACCCAACTGGCAAACCTCAGAGCCAATATTCAAACCAAGTTGGTCTGACTCCAGATCTTATACTTCATTGCTAGACTGAGTAAAGAGGACAGATATCAAATGTGGATATTTCACATCTTGTTGCAAATCAGCCATAACATAATCTGTGTGCGTGTGTGTGTTGGGGAAATCAGTCCAACCTCTCTGTACCTAATTTCCTCCATTGTAAAGTGGAAGGACTGAAGTCAAATTATTTCTAACGTTTTCTATTGCTCTGACATTCTATTTCATCAACCCACCTGCCTCTGAGTCTGTTTCTATATTTGTGAAACAACCTATGTATAATGCCTCTTTACACCAATATTTACTTGTAGATGATCACATTTTAGCAAAATTTTGATTATATGGAGTGACTGGGAATATGGTGACTTGTTTAAATGAAATTCCTGATTAAATACAGCTTAACCAGAAGAACTCCCTTAAAAGGCAATAAAATAGTACATTTGTTTTTAGCATTATGTGGGGGCTTAATTTTATAAATTTACCTTTAAATGGTAAATCCTTTATTTTAACTAATCTTGGTAGGTTTCCAAAAGTTCCCCAGGCTTAGTAACTGCATATGTGACATAATTAATTGCTCTTGAGGATGTAGAGTCACCATAAAGAGCCTCAATTATTCAGTTCTACTTTCAGGGACACTAAGAGCTATGCCCCTGTGGACATATCTGACAATGAGCATTACTATAGGCTATTGCTGTGTGTTGGCAAATACAGTCTGAAGAACATGACAGGAGAATCCCTGGAAGACCCGGCAATGGCAGGGATTCAAGATCATTACTTGAAGTTACTGACCTTCCATCATTATAAGCCAGGAGAAGTAAAATGTTAGGATGCTGGGTTCAATTTCTAATTCCACAAGAGAAACTTCTCAGACATGATTTGTAAAGGACAGCCCCTTCAACCTAAATTAACACCTTTGATGGCTGTAACACATTTTACTCTTGGTTCCAGTTAAGTCAAGGTTTTACTGAATATGCTTTAATAAAGTCTATGTGTGATTTTGCTTTGCTCTACCTTGCCCATTAGAAAATTTAGACCAGAAATGACATTCTCCTCTATTTCAGGCGCTCTCCAACTATTCTCCTGCAGAATGCTTATATCCTGTTTTTTTGTGTGTTTTTTTTTTAACAGAAAAGCAGCCTTTTCCTCATCCATAATTCCCCCCTCCATTTTACCAAAAGCATCAGCAATTACTGTTCTTAAAAAAATACAAATATAAATTAGAAACAGCTCATCATAGGGCCAGATATGCATGCTTATAATCTTACACTGACTGTACCCATATAATAATAATCATTATATTTTTCTCTAGTAAAGTCATTCTTAGTTCATGTGAAACAATTAAACATATTATTATTTCAAGGTGTTTCTCCAAGAACTCTAATTTGCAGGTGATTGTTGTGCTATGGGAGCAAAGTCAAAAAGCACAACAGGAGTCTGTTCTTAGCGGGTGAGTCACCAGCACTGTGCCTTTGCTTTGCCCCTCTAGATCTGTAGGTCTGTGGTCTAGAAGGCAATCCTCCAATGGATTGAATCTTATGGACTGCCATGTACTTTGGCTTTTAGGACCAATGGGAGGTGCTTATAAGAGACAAGAAGATATGAGGCAAGAGTTTCAGGCATCACCCCTTTCACACCCTCACCTCCATTCCTCACCTTGCCAGCCTCTGTCTTCATCTATGAAAGCCACATCTATGAAGTCACAGCTGTACCTCTCCAAAAGCTACTGCTGTATCTCTCAGAGTTGTAGTAACTATTCTCCCTTCTTGCTCTTTCAGGAAGAGGGCAAAATGCATATCCACTATTGCCAACTCAGGGCTTCCTTCTCAAACCTGCTGGTTCCTTTTAATCTAGCAACACACTTGTAAACAGTTCCTTTCTTAAACTCTCATCAATTGCCATCTTTGAAGGTGCTACTTGTTTCCCAGAAAGCCCTCCATCACACCAGGGTCGGGTATTTTGTGTGTGATCATCCACAGGGTGAACCATTATGCTCTGATGGGTATTATTTGATTAGATATTTGCAAAGGCAAATTCAAGCTCTAAAAAATGTTCTTACTGCCACTCCCACATATAATTGGGTTATTAAGATCTTTAGCATTTGGCTGAAGTGCTTTTTGGAAGCACTTTATATGGAAGAATATGCCATATAATTACATGGAATATTGTAAGTGATTTCAAAAAAAGTTTTCCAATGCGGTCTTAGGCCAAAGTAAGGACCAATTTAAAGGAGTCAAGTTTACATTTCTCTAAAAATAAGCAACCCATTAAATAACAATCAGTACACAATCTAGAATAATTTTCTACTGTAAACTCAGTTTTGAGAGAGTATATCCACAAGGCACAGGAGTGCACATATACCCAACCCATGTGGATACACAAACAACTACAACAAAAACAAAATTAAAAAGCAAACAAACAAACCCCACACATATCTTACCAGCTCAACAGTCCCAGTCATTTGTAAAACAAAATCAAGACTCTCTGAAAATTAAAATATCATCTCCTTAACCCCCCGACATTGTGCTGAAATTTCATTTGGTCTACTTGATGCAGACTCTAATGTGCTTACTTAATTTCATCATTTCTTATTAAAGTATTGGCTACCCTGTAGTCTAAAACTGGGTAAGAATCTGTGAGCATATCTTATGCTTAATCATCTTATCCTTATGGTAAAGGTAAGAATACCTTACCCTTATGCTCAAGGGTTCTTCAGTAATGAATTAGAAGTTTAAAAAAGCATTCATTAAACTTTCCTATTTATTATACATAAACTATATACTATATGTACACACATTACATATATACCAATCTAGTCTACTATTAAAAATATGCAGACTAGATTTATTTAAAAAAATAAAATAAGAATAAATAACTATCAAAACATAGTTACTTTTTGGGGGGAGGGGGCAAGTTCTTGCTATGTCAGGCTGGCCTTGAACTCACTCTGTAGCCTAAGCTGGCCTTACACTTGCAGTGATCCTCCTACCTTGGTCTCCTGAGTGCTGGGATTACAGGCATGCACCACCAAGGAGACATAGTTACTTTGATATCTATTGACTAATCTGATTAACCCCTTGAAATAATATATAATTGTCATAGAATCTGTCAGAAAAATCACTTCTTAACTTAAAACAGAATATGTCTGTAACTTGAGTTTGCTAAATCAGTTGCCACACAGAAGAAAACCAAAATGGTCAGTGTTCTGGAATAGCTTTGTCTTGCTTTTATGAAAGGTGTGCAAATGCAGAAAACTAAGGCACAAATCAGTGAATAAAGTAACTTTGTCAGAAATTACTTTATAATCTATCCCTTTTATATTATGATAGCCCTTACATATTCAGTCTAACTATCTTACACTTAGATATGCAACTGCCAGCAAAAAGAGCTGGGACAATTTGTTTACTTCCCTCAGAGAGAAAGCACTAGAAGAGGGACCCTGCTTTCTCTCATTCCTCAGCCTAGAAGAAACTATTATCAGGAGTAAGGTGACTACCACTGTACAGAAG